ACCAGACCTTGCTGAGCTTCCTCCCTGCCCGAACCCGCAGGAGCCCCGCCCTCCCGAGCTGCTCCGGCTCTAGGCCCAAGTGAAGGCGGCTGGAGACACCGGAACCGGAACCTGAACCTCCCCCCTTCCGGGATTACCACCTTCTCCTTCCACGTTCCTCCGCCCCGAACCGGCTACGGCAGCCCTGAGAGCAAGCGCCACCCACCACAACCGATGAGCCGGAAGCACATTCCCAAGTCCCGCCCCCTCCCCCGGAAGAGACCTTTGTGGAGAGCTCTATCAGTCCCCTGCCCAATAGGACGAGACAGCAGCAGGGCTGCGGCTTCCGGGAGCCCGGAAGTGGTTCGGGCTGGAGGCGGATGTGTTTCCTTTCGGACTCCGCCGTGCCGGGGGCGACACGAGCCCCGGGGCGGAGTCATCGGGCCCCATCATCCCCCACGACGGGGACGGGGGCGCCGGGGGACGAGCCCCCCCCCCCCCAGCGGGAGACGTGTGTGTAGCGGGAGGGGGTGAGTCCCGCTCCCTTGCCAGGGACTACTGTAGCTGGAGGGTTTACGAACCCGGCCGGGATCCTCCCACATACCACAGCCCCATCACTTGCCCAGCTCAGGTGCGGTGGCTCCACCAGGCAAAAGCCAAGCGTCACAGCTGGTCAGGAAATCATCGGTGGGCACCCGCAACTTGAGGGTGACGGCTGCGTCTCCAGCCTGGCAGCCCTGCGGGCTGTGGTGGTATACTACATTCTACATGCCTGCAGCCAGCCGAGCCTCAGACCCATTCAAATGAAATTTGTGTAGAAATGGGCCATTTTGCTTATGGCTGAAAAACACATACAGGCAAGGGGCGTAGGAGGAAGTTTAGAATAAGCATTGGCATTGTTACAGTGCTTCCCAGCAGGTCTTCACTGCAGGGGGGGGTCGATTTAAGATACGCACATTCAGCTACGCGAATAGCGTAGCTGAATTCGATGTATCGGAGCCAACTTACCCCGCTGTAAGGACGGTGGCAAAATCGACCTCCGTGGCTCCCCGTCGGCGGCGCTTACTCCCACCTCCGCTGGTGGAGTAAGAGCGTCGATTCGGGGATCGATTGTCGCGTCCCGACGAGACGCGATAATTCGATCCCCGAGAGGTCGATTTCTACCCGCCGATTCAGGCGGGTAGTGTAGACCTAGCCTAAGGCTCTCACCGCATTGTACTAACAACAGATTTAGCTACAGGGAGCAAAGCAACAGATGAAAATGAAGCAGAAAGACGATCAATGAATTAGCCAAAGCCACAGAGCATACCAGAAGATAAGCTCAAGAAAGTCAATGCCTTCTATCCTTTAACCACAAAACTAGCCATTTTGAGTCCTTTAGGACAGAGTAGTGGAGTCAGTTGTAGTAATAAAGAGTAACTCATAATGGATATAGCACGCTCTTAGTGACATTTATTTAAGTCCCTCTGGGATATTTTCCAAGGTTGTCCATCAGTAAGGAATTCCAAATTTAGAAACAACTAAGGGTCTGCTCATAATTCAGGCATTTTAGTAGAAGGCAGAATTAGGCTCAGTAGTTGTAGGGGAAAAAAGTTACTTCTCATCACCCCTACTACCACTCACAGAATTATTGCTGTGTGGGGCAAAAAATTCAGAAACCCTACACCCTAAATGGGATATTTTAGATTACTTTGGTTTTCCTTTTAGATCACAGTGAGTAATAGTCATTAGAAATCCTTGTGATCTGTACAGAACATACCATAAAAAAAAGCTAGTAGTAGTGATACAAAAGTTGGCTCATCCCTTAAACAGTACTCAAACCTTAAAGAAAAAGTAGGCAGAAAGGTGCCTAAAAAGAGTTTAAAAAGCCATCGATGCACCAGCTTTGGTAATAAACATTTTTATTCAACTTCCTCCTAATCATTGAAGAGGTACTTAATTATTCTGTGGAGCATAAACTAGGATAAAGGAAATAGATGTTCAGTATATCCCTTCTCCGTGGAGAATTTGACTGTCTCTATATCAGGTCAGTATAGTGAACTACATTTCTGTACATTTGCTCATTTCATCTGCACCATTGTTGTTTTTATAATTAAAAAAAAAGGAAAGAAAGACAACACAGGACTGCAGGATACCAGTAATATTTTTAATGCAGTTTTGCTTTGTATCACATTTTTAATTAAACTCTCTCTCCCTACTCTCCATCCCTTCTCAAAATGACTCCAGTATTCACCACCAGTCCTCTCATGTTCTCTACTTTTGCATTCAATGTGATCTATGTTCAAGTCAAATAAGACTACTGGTGTGACAAATTGTATAGGTTTATAAGTTTTGCCACAGAGGAGGAGGGGGAAAAACCCACAAAAAAACTGATACTTCAGGTATGTCAGAGTCACTAACTTGTAAAATTCTTCTATAAAAAGGTAAGACAAACCTACAGTAGTTCTCTTACCCATATGTTCATCAAGTAAATAGGTTCTAAAAGCAAAAATAATCCTTACAAATGTGGCCAAAGTGTCTTTCAAATATTTTAGTAATGGTAGACTTTTCCCCTAATTATTTTTAGGATAGGCAGGAAGTTGTACATTACACTCAGTTGTGAGATTATCCATTTATCAGTAAATGGTGTTTGACACATTAACATACAGATTACGACACTTGCCATAGAATTTATCTAAGCAACAGCACTATCAACTTCAAGTGGATCTAGGCCAGTTAGAACTTTGCAATAAAAAGTGATTTAGAAGAAAGTTATACATACATGATTGACTACATATTAAGTTCATTTTATTCTATAACAAAGCTGCCTTTGGATAGTCTGTATAAATAGATTTTATAACAATAGTGCCAGGCTCCATTTTAATTCTTAATTCAGGGAAAAAAGCATTGACAAGATTTTCTTTGTCTCTAGTCCACATTAGAGCTATGATAACCCATTTTCCGTATAATGAATATTATAGTATCAAAATGTTTGAACAATATGGAAGATTCTGCCTGAAATCAGATCCACATGCAATATTTCAGACATAATAACCATGGGGTAACAGCTCAAGATGATTCTTTAAGCAGGTTTTTGATTTTTTTCTTTAAAAAAATTTATTTATTTTTCCATGCAAGCTGTCTCTGAACCAAGATTCCAAAAGAAATAGTTTCCTAAAATAGTTACATTTCAGAACTAAATTAATCTGCTATGATATTTGTTTCCGCCTCTCCATTGCCCATTACTTATTCCAAAACTGTACACATAACAGGCAACTATAGCCGTTTAAAACTTTTTACCTGAAAAGGTGATTGTGTCCTTTCATAACATTGTGCAACATTAGCACTTCATTCACTGTAATGCTTGTTTTGGGAACTTCTGACTTTTGTATGCCCCTTTTCTCAAGACCCAAGCTGTCTTTTGATAATGAAATATACATTATTTTCTGCAATAAAATGCTTTGGTCATATTTTAGTTTAGCATTGTTACAGTACTAGACTTAAACAGCTGCATTAAAAGTAATACTTGATCCAAATGTGAAAAGCAGTTCTTTACCAAGGGTCAGGCAGTAGATTATTAGACCACACTGCATTTCAGTTCAGTAAGAGTGCTGCTCTTCTGTAAATGGTATTCTTCAGATGAGATATTAAAGCATGGTCCTTTCACTCCAACTACGATGGCAGCCATCTAGATTAAAACTTCCATGACACTTTTCAAAACAAGTACAGCATAATCTCAACCCCCAGTTAACATTCCATTCCCTCTAGGTCTGAGGTTCAAAGATGTGTAAAAGAGCTATTGCTGAGCACAGTCAATAACTGATGCATTAATCTACAGCCAATGACACCTGTATCTTACTCTATCTAAACTCTTACCTTGTAAAGCTCTAGGATTCATGAAGTATGTAGGGTGGTAGCTAAATTCTAGTCTACTTTTCAAGATGAAGTGCATACTTTTAGGATCCAACAGAGACTATGATCTAACTTTATATTTCCCCCCCAGTTAACTGACATATATGGCTCCTAGTAGAGCTCTAGGAAGAGTTTAAAATAAAAAATAATAATAATAAAAAAAAAGTATGGAATTACACATTTCAGCTGCTGAAAGAGATTCTTTTCACAATGTCATAAATAAAGCAATATTCCCCACTCCAGCTTTGCTTTAAAACCAAATATGAAAGTCACAATTGCTGTGGTTTATGTGAAGCAATGTTTATAGGAGACAGAACAATAATTTTATTTTGAAGTCTTTACCATGTCTTAGTACATACAGTGATAGGTGGTCCTTTAGTGCTGGTCTTCACTACAAGTTAGCATGCTTTAGTTACTGCATTCAAGCTAGCCTAGCTTGAGTGAGAGCAACCACACTTCAAAACAATACGAGAGTTTCACAGTCTGATTTGATTAGTTGCTGTTGAGTTAGAATAATAGAACTGTAGGGCAGAAAGGGACCTCGAAAGATCACTTAGTCCAGCTCTCTGTGCTGAGACAGGACCAAGTAAACCTCCTAGAACATTTGTGACAGGTGTTTGTCTAACCTGTTCTTAAAACTTCCAATGATGGGAATTCGACAACCTTCCTTGGAAGCCTGTTTCATTACAGCTTATATTTAGAAAATTTCCCTAATATCTAATCTAGATCTCCCTTGCTGCTACCTTCGAGTGGACATTGTTCTCCATAACATCTCTCAACACATTTAAAAACTATGATCACATCCCCCCATCAGTTTCCTTTTCTCAAGACTAAACATGCCCCCTTTTTTTTTTTTTTTAACCTTTCCTCATAGGTCAGGTTTTCTAAACCCAGGGCCACCCAGAGGGGGGGCAAGTGGGGCAATTTGCCCCAGGCCCCGCAGGGGCCCCCACAAGAGTTTTTCGGGGCCCCTAGAGCGGGGTCCTTCACTCGCTCTGGGGGCCCTGGAAAACTCTCACGGGGCCCGGGCCCCCGAAGCTTCTTCCGCTCCGGGTCTTCGGTGGCGGGGGGTCCTTCCGCTCTGGGACCTGCCGCCGAAGTGCACCAAAGACCCGTGGTAGGGGGTCCTTCCGCCCCGGGACCCGCTGCCGAAGACCCCAGGCCCCCTGAATCCTCTGGGCGACCCTGTCTAAACCTTCTATAAATTTGTTGCTCTCCCGTTCTCATCTTTCCTAAAGTGAGATGCTCAGAACTGGACATAGCACTCCAACAGAGGCCTCTTCACTGCTGAGTAAAGTGGGACAATTACCTCCTGTGTGTTACATATGGGACTCCTGTTAATACACCCCAGAATGATATTTACCTTTTTCGTAACTGCATCACATTGTTGATTCATTAAATTTGTGATCCACTACAAGTACTGGATCATTTTCAACAGTATAAACTCACAGCCAGTTATTCCCAGTTTTATATGTGCTTTTGATTTTTTATTCCTAAATTTACACTTGACTTTACTGGATTTCATCTTGTTGATTTCAGACCAATTCTCCAATTTGGCAAGATCATTTTGAATTCTGATCTGATCCTCCAAAGTGCTACAAATCCCTGCCAGTTTGGTGGTAATCCTCACATTTAAAAAGCACATTCTACACTATATTATCCAAGTCATTAATGAAAATATTGAGTAGTACTGGACACAAGACAGACTCCTGCAGGACCCCACTAGATACTGCCTTCCAATTGGACAGCTACTATTGATAACTATTCTTTGAATACAGTCTTTCCACCAGTTATGCATCCACCATATAGTAACTTCATCTAGACCACGTTTCCTTAGTTTTCTTATGAAAAAATCATGTGAGTCTAAGTCAAAAGCCTTACTGAAAATCAAGATGGAGGGAGGGGAACATACATCTACTGCTTCCCCTCTACCCACTAGGACAGTAACCCTGTCAATGAAGGAAATTAGTTTGGTTTGGCATGATTTTTGAGAAGCCCACCTTGGGTATTATTTATTCTCTTATTGTCCTCTACATGCTTGTTGTAACTCAAGTTGTTGCATCCCCAGAGAGTTACTAGCTTTAGCATCAACATCACTTAAGTTTCAAACGCCCTCCCTCCCAACTAGCTAGCTAGAATTTAAAGCACCAATTAACTTGAGCTAGAGAATTCCGTGTGTGGATGGGAGTTGAGCTAGGGGTAGCATTCCAGTTATTACCGGAGCTAATTATGCTGTGAAAGCACATCCTCAGTAGCCCTACATCAACGAAGAAGTCATACCCTGACCCTAGGCAATCAGCCTCATATTCTAAAAATCTGAAATTTATTTTCTTTACAAACAGTACCATGTAATCTACCTGACCCACCTAGATCATTCAGGGCTTTAGCTCTTTATAAACATACATCCATGTTAATAATCCTGAAAGTTGCTATCGGTTGGGGTAGGGCTGATTAGCAGAGAAAATTCAATTACATAGTTTAAAAGGGACAAAAAAGTGACACATGGAAAAAAGTATTTAATTTTAACTTTAGGGATTTGGGTAAGATTGGAAGGCAAATAACTGAAGTTTTAACAGATAAATTAGCAGTTGAACTACATAACTCTCAGTTATCCAGTGCTTTTTGAAAAAGTCAGGTTTTATCTCATAGACTCATCCTTTCTGTTGTTTCTTCTATCTGCCCAGACATACACAGGCCCTTAACTGTACAGCACATAGTTTAATTGATGACTGCCCACAGCAAGAGTTCTTCAAAAGGTGACAGTCCCATGTCTCCAAATCAGAGTAAATGATCCAAAATGTAACAAATCCAAAATTTAACCCCATGCTCACCAGTAGGGACACAGACAGAAACCCTGCATGAGGATTGCTAGTCTCAGAAAATAACAAGACTAGAATGAAGGCTGACAACCTGTTAGGTTTTGTAATTCAATCTGTACACAACCTTTCAGGGCATACCATCTGCTTTGGTGAAAGCCCAAATCCAACCTTTTGTTCCTTTCTTCATGATGCCTACAAAGGGCTGCTTGGAATGCTTAATTAACACAGGTGCTATCACTCCTTAAATTGAGCACAGCCTGAGCCAATTTCCCTGCATCCAGTATCTGGCTTGCATCAGCTTGTTGACAGACCTTACTGTCTGTAGCAGTGCTACAGCTGAAAGAATCAAAGTCCACCGTTATATCTTGAACATTTCTTTCATTGGCATTGTCAAAACTATTTTTTCCATGTAATTGTTTAAGGTGTTTCCTCAGAACAGGTTTATGTGCAAAGACCATGTCACAATAGTTACATTTATGAGGCTTGTCTCCACTGTGCAGATTGAGATGGTCCTGTAAAGAACATTTCTGAGAGAAGGTTTTCCCACAGATTTTACACTGAAAAGGTTTGATCCCTGCATGCACTCTCATGTGTCGGTGGAGATTGCCTTTCTGAGTGAACGTCTTACCACACAGCAGACACATGAACAGTTTATGCATTTTTAAATGATTAGCATAGTTTTCCAGGTGCCGGAATACTCTGGTACACTTGGGACACTGGTGGTGCCATTGGAGACCCTTGTCTATACCTCTGTTGTTAGGACCAAACATGTCTTTAGAGGCCATGATGAAATTGTCACTGCCAGCATAAGAAAGGGCATAGTTGTGGAGATGATTTTGTTCTATTTCACTCGTTCTGTTTTCCACAGTGGAATTGATTAAAAAGTGCTGAGGCTCTGATGAATGTAAAGCAGTTTGTTCAGAAGAAATAAACTGGGTTTGATCTTTTTTATTTCTAACCTCAGACACCTCCCCAATAGACTCCACCTTGACAATCTGAATGTCACTATCTTCCATGTCCATACTGTCTTCTGAGGTTTGAATACATAGTGAATCCTGTTGCAGAGAGTCCTCATCTCCTTGGTGTTCTTTCAACTCAGAAGAATCGCTTTGCTGTTCACAATCCTCCTTGCTCTCCAATGGCTTCTTAGGTTTTATAAACTTCCAGAGAGCCTGTGTACATCGTTCCACAATGTGGCTCATCTGAAGAAAGCTTGCAGCAGTCAAGTAATTTACCAGCTCCATCTCAGGAAACTCCAGAATACCACTGTAGCAGGACAAAAGCAACTGCCTCCCCACTTCTGAACTCTGCAGAATGGAGATTTTAACCTCTCTGGCATCATTCAACAAAAACTGATCTCTTAAAAAGGGGGAGCCTGCAGCAAACACAATTTTATGCCCATGAACCTCAACATTGTCTATGTGAACTACGACATCACAAAACTTATTTTCTTCCCTCAGTTTGTTCATTTTTTGTAACATTGAATCTCCATAATTGTCAAACTTGAAGTGAAGGATATCTGATCTTTCGGACATTTTGGCAGATCTAAAGAACAAAAGCAAACAAAAATAAAGAAACAGTATATGAGGAAACTAATGGATGTAATCATGCAAATTAAAAAGGGGCCAATGGTGCAGGTTAAACATACATATTTTACAAAACATTTTCTTATATTAATAAAAACTCCCAAGACTATTAAAAATGAAATAATTTTAAAAGTTAAGTTTACTTTGAATATCTTAATGATGTTTACTTTTCGACATTTCACACAACTTGGACAGTGAAAGTAACCTAATCAATTTCTAGACCATTTCATATTCTAATCCACATGCAGTAGTATAATGTTGCAATGTCCCCAACACTACAGAAGAACGTTTATTTAAAATATTATAGTTATATAGATACACTATTTCTTTGGAATTTAAAATAAAACCATATAAATATTTCTACTGGTTTAAACTTTTGTAAAAGCTTGCTTTCGTATTAACAAAAACTAAGTTTTTGGCTCAATTTGAGCCTTCAATGTCCCTTTAGTTTTTAGCAATTGTTTTGCTTTAAAGCATGAACAATTTCCATAGGCAATTGATCTCTCAATGTTACACTTAAGCACCTGTCAGAGAGGACAGTGTAATAGTAAACCAAGCTTTTTAACATTCATGTACTGAACAGGAAAAATATGGTCTATGAATCAAACTAAGAAAAATAGTTAAAATTCTTCCACCCTCAACACCTCCTGCTTGCCTGGTGGTATTTCTAAATAAAATACAGCCTGTTACACATCTAAAATGCGCAGAATTCTAGTACTGAACTTAATTTTTTAGACCAGATATAGTCACAATGGAAGTGATTGGGATCTCATTCATCTTTATGCATTTGTCCAATGTCCATTATCGAGCACTGAAGCAAGCATTTTTATTTTGAGAGTTTTTAAGGGTGAGAAATAAAGTCAAACTGCTAGATAGCCCTGTTCTCTCACATTCACCACCTAATAAGCAGTCGCACCAGAAAACACTTTCTCACAGGAAACACACTGCTTCCTAAACTGTAATTACTTTTAGGTGGCTATGAATGCTTGAATGGAAAATTACTCATTGTTAGAAAAATGATATTCCAGAAACAATACCCCACAAAGGTGCGTGAAGATTTCCATCATACCCCTCAAGTAATTTGACCTACACAAGTAGTAGATCATACTGTAAATGCAAATTCCAGATCTGGCTATCCTCCAGTTTTGTATTCTTGGCTAGCCTGAGGAGGGAGGGAGAAAGCTCTCTGCATCTTTCCGAGTTCTACATGCTATTTCCACTCAATATCACACGTCACAGCCATCATCCTTCCAGCTGACAGGCAGATGTGACTCCTATTCAAAACAGGTTAGGTCTAACAGAGGAATCGTACTTCTTCAGTTTAGTTCAACAGAGACATTTCAAAATTAACTAGATATGGTACCTTAGTTTTCTTGTTCAAGCATCACAGAGAAAGTTTCTGCAAATTGCTCAATGTGTTACCAGTTTAAAAGATTCTGGATGAATTACCTAAGGAAAGAGAAGAAAAGCCATGGTTAGCCAAAGGCTTATTTGCCTGACAACTTTAAAATGTCTTTAAAGAAAGAAGAATGATTTGAAAGTAATTAACTGTTTACATGTCCACACTACTATACGTGTGTTTTGAAAAACATTTTTCCAATACTGAGGAAGAACAGTATTGGAAGACTACTGGGGGTTAGTCAGAATTCCTCTCCCATTTATAAAATACTAGGCCTGCGAAGGGCCAAAAGCACCTGCCTACCTGCATTTGGCTCCATCCTTCTTTGTGGCTTTGCAACCAATAACAAGGGTAACATCCTTTTATTCCCCTTCTCATCCTCTCTTGGGTGGCTGCACCTTGTTCTTACAAGTAATTTCAGCAATTAGAGCTTTCCTAGTTTTTACTTTATGTAATTCCACAATATAAAAGGAAGAAACCTGACCAGCCCAGTGTCCTGGGTCTGACACTCCCACTATCAGCTGCTAGAGGGGAAAGCGAAAAGCCCCATAGGGGACAGTTATGGGATTACTCGCCCACATAGAAAGTCACTTCCTCGCCCCCTTGGCTTAGTGGTTGGTTCGTGACCCTGAGGGAAAATGGTCTAAAAACCCACCCTTAACAAGTGGGGCTGAGTGCTACACCGCCCAGGCTCCCCCTTTCCCCACTCCACTCACCTCCTCACTCCTCACGCTCCCCCCTCCTCCTTCCCCACGGTGTCCCCTCCCCGCAAGGTTGGGAAGGGGCCACTCTCCGGATCCGGCCCCGGGCGGAGGCGTTGGCCGGAGGACACCGGAACCGGAAGTACCCCTCCACAAATCTTCTTCCGGGGCTCCTGCCCCTGCCCGGTTTCTTCACGAACCCACCGGGAGCCGCCGCGGCCGCTGCCGGAGCAGCCGCCGCCGCCGCCGGGGCCCCGGAAGTGCATCTTCCTCTGACCCGGAAGACTCTCCCTGTCCCGTCCCCCTCCCCTCCGGCCTGGGTCACGTGGTGGGGGCGGCGGCGGCCGAGGCCCGGCCGGAGGAGGCAGCGGCGGTGGCTCGGGTAGGTCCGGTTCGTGTCGCCCCCGGGGTTGTGCGGCGGGAGGGGCTAGGTCAGACTCCGCGCGTCTCTTCCGCATCTGGGGGGGGTCTCCGGTCCCCGAGCCCTCCAGAGCCAGCGGCCGCGCCGCCCACCCCGTGCCGAACGGCCGCCCCCCCTCCCCCGGGGCCCGAGCCTTCCTGCCCCCCCCCTCCCCCGGGCCTGGGCCTGGCCTTGCGGGCAGCCGCTGCCCAGGCCTGGTTCTGCCGGGGGTGGGCCCAGGCCGCTCCTCACGGAGCCCGGCGGTGCCAGGCCGCGTAGCCCCGGTACGCGGCTCCCCTCACCTGCACGGTGCCCGCCCCCGGTGTGCGGCCCGGTGCCTGAGGCCCCCGCGCCGTCCTGTCAGGATCCGCAGAACGGGCGACCAGCGCGTGGGGGGTGGTTTTGTTGTTGGGAGTTTCAAAAGGGAGGGAGGGAGAGAGGAAACTCCAGAACCTGGAAGTATTGGGCTAGGCACCCCGGCATATGCCATCCCGCGCAAGGTGCCTGTCCCGTGAAGCCCCTTAATGAGGTCCCCTGTGCATTCTGCAGCATCCCGCTTTCCCCCGTCGCGCTCTCTGCAGAGTTCCACCTTATGCTGCTCTCTTGCAAAGTTTTTTAGCACCTGAGATCTCTGAGCACCTTTCTGTGTCCTGCCTGAGACTAGATTTCGGTGGGGCCCTGTCTTGATCTCTGCACCCCTAACTCATCCACAGGGACGTGCACAATATTGGTAAAAGTGCCTTACCATCATACTGAGTGTACTGCATGTGTAGAAAGTGTGTTATCAGTCTCTAATCACATGGCTAAATGCAAGACGGTTTTCACTGGAATGTGTGCGTACAATTCTCGGTCACATCTATTTTCTGGCCAGATGTCCCCTTCCATCCTCCCTCTGGCTGTTTTTGTGCTGGATCTGTTTGGTTCTTAGTCACAGGATTGGTTTGATTGATAGGACAGTGTATTTTTCTCACTGTTTGTCACACTCAAGCCTCTGGACTACTTTTGCTTGAACTTTACAAAAACTCTTGTGTGGATATACAGCCTGCAAAATATCTGGAAGGGCTGAAAGTTGGTGTTTGTAATAGAAACACATGTCCAATGTTCATTATAGCTGTCACTAGCTTTCGAGCTATTGATGATAACCTTATTGCATGTTCTGCCTAGGGACAGTGGTGCCTGCAAAGAGGTGGGAGAACAGCAGTGGGGCAATGTGAGCTAGAAGTGGGTAGAGACCCACCTGTCCCTTCAGATATGAGGTGGCTGCACCTGGGATGCTTCACACATGGCTTGTGTGCTGGACATTGTGATGGGTGACATGGACATATGAATAGATACTGTCACTATGCCGAGGAATCCAGTATGCATGGGACAGTTGTTGCCCACACATGTTAACTGGTGTGGGGATTGGAGGCATACGATGACACTTGCTAAAAAATGTAGTTTCTAATAATAGTATTCTGTCCTCCTCTGCATATTTCAGGCAGCATTTTAAAAGTTTCTGATAGTAACTAGTTGAGCCTAGTTAGATACTAAGATAATGGTGCTTAGAAACCAAAGTGATAGTCTTTCACTCTTTCCCATTTAGTTGGTTATGCTCCAACCGTCCAAACAGGTATGCATGTAACTTTCTGCACATGAATAATGCTATTGAGTTCAGTGGCACTACTCACATGTGTAAAGTTACTCACATGCTATATATTGTAGGGACTTTTGTTAATTTCCCCTTGTGTAATAGACTCACCCAAACAACAAGGGAAGGAAATATATTTTTAAAGAGAATGCATTTGTAAAATTACAAAAATTGCCAGGAAACTCAGATGCAATTGAAGTTCAGTTGAAAGTGACTAGATTTCAAATTGATATTGTTCCCTTAATCATAAGTCCATTATTTCTAAGTCTGTGTTGCCAGACAGTGCCGAGCTTATTTTTCATGGGTACTGAGTTATGTCAACAAAATAACCAAATTCCATTTTCAAATCTTCATGTTCTGGGACTGTATCCGGTCATTGCTTGTCAGATATCACATTGATGCTAGAATCTGGCACTTTATTGCTTCCCCTTCATTTGATTTACATTCTAGTCTCGATCTTCCTCCTTTCTTTATCCCATTTGTTATCCTGTTTGTAAGTGCACATACTGTTTTAGACTTTTATGGTTTGGAATAGGTAAGTTCCAAGCACTGATGATCCTAGTTCAGAGATTGAAAACAAGTAGCAATAAACAAGCACTATACTACCTTATATGTTTGAAAAATCTCGTAAAGTTTCAAATGAAATTGGACTTTGGTAGCTGTAGATTTTACAGTATTCACCTTTGCACTTTTGCATGTTGTAAATTAAGGTAGTATAAAAAAAGTGAAAAATTAAAATGCAGGTGGTGCGAGGGGCAACAATTATGACTTTCTCATAGACTTTAAGGCCAGAAGGGACCATCATGATCATCTAGTCTGACCTCCTGCACATTGCAGGCCACAAACCTCACCCACTGATTCCTGTAATACGCCAATAGCCACTGGCTGAGTTACCTGAAGTCCTCAAATCATGATTTAAAGACTTCAAGTTACAGAGAATCCACCATTTACACTAGTTTAAACCAGCAAGTGACCTTGCCTCGTGGTGCAGAAATACAAAGCTGGAGATCAGATTCTGTCTAGGTATCTCATGCTGCAAAAATACATAGGCTGGTCTGTATTCCCAACTTCGTTTGATCTGTCGGGATTTTATAGACCAAATAATACACTGGTTTGGATTCAGGATTTCGGTAAGACTTCTGGGCTACACTGTTGCAGAATGCCTCATTCCATGGAGTTCTGCGGAACTGTTTAAATTTTGTGGATGTTATCATGTTTTCCATAATGATCCTTATGTCCCTGCTTAACATTAGAAGGTCAAGGCCCTGACCAGACTTGGCTATAGAGACACAGTGAACAGATTAGCTAACAGTTAGGCATGAGAATTTCCTTCTGCTTTCCAAGTCCAGCTGCAGACAGTTTTTAGTACCATGTATCATATGAGACTGTTAAGGTCATTGCTGCTGCTTGAAGGTTTCAGATTATATTTTCAAAGAGCCATGCTGGTCCAATAAATGTAACTATACATTTCTGTTTGAATCCCCAGTGAATGATGTAAGCTGTATAAATACACACTGCACCCTTATAAGGGTCACTCTAACCTCTGGCTGGAGAACCTTATCTTCCATGCTAACTGCTTCTCTGTACTTAAGGATCTATGTCCTATGTCTGCCTGAAAAGGGAGACCTGTAGATGTGCACAATGCTATTGGAATGTCATTTGGGTTCGTGAGAATAGACTTCGCAGTGAACTCATTTCAGTGACATTCTTTTGCTGCTCTGGATAGGGCAGTGTCAGCGTTTCTTTTATAAACCACTGTTTCCCTGGGCCTACGAGTATGTCTCTGCGGTTGGAGCAATTGCTTTGTGCTGGAGCCTGACATAAGCATTTTGTCCCGAGCACATTTTCTAGATTAAAAATAAATCCTTATGGAATCAGCTATATTGATAATCCTTAACAGGTTTAAGGTTGTGTTAGCTTGAACTCTTTTATGTTTTTTCTGATACCTGGCTTTGTGGGTGATTCAACCACCTTCCTGAGATCTCTGCTTGTCATGCTTCTCTCTTTCATGAGAATCACAGGGGTAGGGAACTTGAGGAAGCTTAATCTTAAAATGAATCTCCTGTTTTCATTTGGCCCTTGAAGTCAGATTGACATAGAGGAGGGGTCCAATGGGAAAACTACACCATTTTATGGCCATGATACTCCTTTGAGAACAATCCTTTACAAGGAGCTAAAAAATTAGGAGTACAATTATTTTTGTTCCCTTGAAGCAAGAGGAATTTAGATGCTTCGTTTCCATATATAATCATAGGACTGGAAGGGACCTTGAGAGATCATCTAGTCCAGTCCCCTGCATTCATGACAGGACTAAGTATTATCTAGACCATTCTTGACAGGCGTTTGTCTAACCTGCTCTTAAAAATCTCCAATGATGGAGATTCCACAACCTCCCTAGGCAATTTATTCCAGTGCTTAACCACCCTGACAGGAAGGTTTTCCTAATGTCCGACCTAAACTTCCCTTGCTGCAATTTAACCCCATTGCTGCTTGTCCTATCTTCAGAGGTTAAGAAGAACAATTCTTCTCCCTCCTCCTTGTAATGACCTTTTATGTACTTGGAAACAGTTATCATGTCACACCTCAGTCTTCTCTTTTCCAGACTAAACAAACCCAATTTTTTCAATCTTCCCTCATAGGTCATGTTTTCTAGACCTTTAATCATTTCTGTTGCTCTTCTCTGGACTTTCTCCAATTTGTCCACATCTTTCCTGAAATGTGGTGCCCAGAACTGGACACAGTATTCCAGCTG